AGCAGGGCAAGGCCCGGCCCGCTGGCCCCACGGGGCAGGGACAGAGCCGTCCTCTGCCCCAGCAGGAGGAGGGCGAAGGAGACGGAGCCATGTCCCCCAGCCCGGAGCGGAGGGACGCTGTTCCCAGCTGAGTTTGGCCACGGCCAGGCTCTGGGCACAGCTCTGGGGCTGGAGCATCCAGCAGAGCCAGGGACCTCAGATCACACCAGCTCCCCCGGGATAACCCTTTCTGGTCACCCCAACCAACTGTTCACGACAGACAACATTCTCACCCTCTCCATCGACAAAACGCCCGCCAGCCCAGCAGCCCCCTGCAAATCCCCAGGGTCTCGGACTGGAGAAACGAGGCAGCGCTCCAGGTCCGAGCTCCAGCAGAGCCCCTCACTGCCCGGCCTGCCTGTGCTCCCTGCCCCTGCCCCCGCCCCCTGCCCCTGCCCATGTCCTCTGCCCGTGTCCCCTTCACCCTGCCCATGTCCTCTGCCCGTGTCCCGTGCCCCCTGCCCGTGTCCCCTGCAGCCCAGGAGCCCTGGGTTTGACACCTGCAGGCCTGACTTCCCATGGCCTCTGGAGCAGTCACCCAGAGCAGGCTGTCACCCACGGTCTCCATGGGGAGAGGAGGAACAGGCCCAGCCAGCAAACAGTTAACAAAAGCCAGGAAGCGAAGGGAGGAGGCACACAGGAGCCTGACTTCAGCACCAGCTCTCTCCCTCCTCCCACACGCTCTGCACACCCCCAGCGCCCATCCTGCCTGCAAACCTCGCCACTGCTGACGAGGAAATTACCGCTTTCCCCCCCCTGGGATTCACGCCACTGAAGCAAACCACCCCCTTCCTACATGCTGTGAGGTCATGCCCATGTCACCAGAGCCGTCCCGCATCGCCCCAGCCCCACAGTGCCACGCACGCAGGCCACGGGCACCCTCTCACCCATGAAGAAGAGAAGCTGAGCACCAAATCACCGCCAGCCCTCGGTGAGGGCAGCCCCACTGCAGACCCTGCCACAGACCCCGCGAGGGCAGTCCCGCTGCGGACCCCACACCGACGCGCTGCGAGACAGATGCGGAGCTGGCGCTCCGTCCAGACCCCAGTGCCACAGGGAAGCCCTGGAACACAGCGCGCTGAGATGCTATCTCCGGGGCGTAACAGAAGATGAAGGCAGCGATCGCTTCTGCTCATGAAACTGCCCCCCGGGCACCTCTGCAAGCGGGGATGTAAATACCAGGGTCCTGACTAAATCTCAGCCTCTGCTGAGCTGCAGTTGGTCTGGTACCTGCGCTCCACGCCACGGGGCAGACTCGCCGCAGCACCGGGGCACGCACCCGGCTGCTCCCAGACTGCATCTCCGTAGTCCCTCCATGTTCCTCACTGGCATGGCAGGAGACACTCGAGCAATGGCTGCAGGTACGAGCAGACTCAACCTGGTTAGGCTAGACGCTGTGAACTCTTCTCAGTACTTTGAAATCCAAAGGCAAAAGCCCCTGTGCAAATTTGGGAAGAGGACTAAAGAAGGTCAGGTCCTTGAGCCCAGCCCTTGCCCTGGCATTAAAGTCACCCCATAAGCCTCAGTTACAATAGCAAAAATCCTCTGGCTTATTCCAGAATCACAGAATGTTTTGGGTGGGAAGGGACCCCTAGAGGTCACCCAGCCCAACCCCCCCGCAGGAGCAGGGACACCTTGAACCACATCAGGTTGCTCACAGCCCCGGCCAACCTGGCCTGGAATGGTCCCAGGGATGGGGCCTCCACCCCCTCTCTGGGCAACCCCTGCCAGGGTTTCACCACCCTCA